TCATCTCCTAAATCTACATGACTAACACCTAGTCGTTTGGGGTCATCAAAAAATAATGAATAATTTTATTCACGTAATAGATGGATTTTATAAGCCGGAAATATACTATACAGATACTGATAGTTTATACATTTCGTCTAGCAATTGGGATAAATTAAATGAAGCTGGGTTGGTGTCTGAAAATGATTATTGTAAAGGAAAGAATGATTACGGTGATGGTGGAATCATATTTGGCGCCAAAAGTTTAATATAATATTATTTTAACTTCCGACGGTATTCTAAAAGAAAAGAAAACGTTTAAGGGTTACTCTAATGATAAGATAGCTGTAGAAGATTATATTCGATTAGCTAGTGGACATGATGTGACGAATGAATTTAAGAAAGTAGTTATTCCAAAGGATGATGATAAACAAAAGAAAGTTTTCAGAAGTTATCTGAATCTCGTTAAAAGAAAAGCACCGGATGATGAAGGAATCATGTATCCTTATGGTGATAAAGATGACTTGAGTTTGGATGAAAACTACGAATTTGATGATTGCGATTACCTTACTATTCAAGAAGAGAATGAAGATTGTTAATTTTTTTTGTTTTAAATGAAGTTGAATAACAATTTCCTCGTTACCAAAATCTATAAACCTATTTTTACCATCTTTGATTTCCAGATTTATATCTTTAATCATAAAGGAATTAAGTGGCAAATATGTTGTTTGAAATGGTTTCTCTATAATTCTATATCCTATCGTTACAGTGAATGTTGGAAGACTGTAAATAATCTGACGTTTGTATTTATTGAAAAATCCACCGTTTATCAAATTGCAATGTATATTTATCACATCGATATCATTCTCGATATTAGCTTCGTGTGGTGCTAAAGTGGATTGCGTGTATATTTGTTTATCAAATCCTAGTAACGCATTCAATGAATTTTCTATGTTAAAATCAACTTGACTATTATTTCTTAATATCAATTTTATTTTGTTCAGATTCAATTTTAATATTGTATTTACCATTTACACTTCCTCCATATTCAGATAGGTATTCGTTAATGGCTATGTATTCGTAGCTTCCTGGTAGTAAACGTATGGTTTTGAATGTAACTCCATTATCTGTTGATATTTTAATTGGTTATTTTTTTCATTGATATTTCTAATGGAATTGTAAACAGAGAAATACTTTAATCCCAATTCATATTCTTGATAGCGATCGAGTTCGTACTCATAATCTAGAGACAATTCAATGTCTGATTTATTTGAGGTGATAATGAATAGTTGTTTTTTATTTGACATTTTTAATCACGCTTTTATAATCATTTTTATCTATTATACCTTTTTCTATGAGTTTTTAATATACAATTTACTTCATTATTTTTGTCTGTGCGATCGATGTCCTTCCTTCATTGCCGTTAATATTACTCGTAATCTATTAAGTAGTTCCTCGTTGTTGTCGGATAAAAACCGTTATACCTTGTCCAGATGCCACCATATCATTGTCTATTTCTTGTATGATTGGATAATCTTATGCATAATCATCTGCTTCATCATCTTCATATTCATCAGGAATAACTTTATATATGTTTCAACTGCTTTCGATCTTCTTGTTTCGGGTCCCGACTTTCTTATTGCACGTAAAAATTTTGAGTATGCTAGTAAATCCTTGTAATCAGCAATGCCAATATACCCGCCATTCATTAAATCTATTAATCCTTTTGTTAATGTAAATATTAAGTCTTTTGTATTGATTTTGAATAAAGGGGAATTTGCCCTAAATTTATTCTAAATCCATTAAACAATATCCTCTTGAGATTTTAATATTGGTTGAAATAGAGTTTGTAGATTTTCTGTCAATCCAAGTTGTTGTAATTTGTTATTTTCAACTTGGGTCTTTATTTTATTCTTAGCTTTGATATATTCTGTATTTCTTTTTAAAATATTATTCCAATCGCTACTCATTTTAAAAAAAAATAAAACTAAAATGTCGATCATAACTCTTTCACCGGCAGGTTTTCTAGTATTATTTATCATTTATATCCATGATCATCTAGGTTTTTCCATTGCGCTTAACAAGCCTTTTTAAATGCATCTCTGTCCATTCCGTGATTAATCGATTGAATGATTTGAGATAAATCTTTATCGTTTAATTCAAATAATAAAAAACGATGTGCATTTTTTCTAATGACCATAGAATCCATCCCGTAAAAAGATTGGGATTGGTATATGCAGTGACAGTTGTGATGTCTTCCTTTCGTGAAGAATTTTTGTTGAACAGCTTGATTTCTTTGCGCTACGCAGTCGTCAAATAATATTAAGTTCTTTCGATTGCTATCAATATTAGACAAGTCTAGGTCATTAACATTTTTCGTAAGAAAAACTTTTATATCCGTTGGATTCTTTGCTTCAATGTAGTTATCTATGACATCTTTTATTTCCGCTTCTTCTTCTTTTTCTTCATAATATTGAAATATGTCTTGAACATCTTTCTTTGGTAAATATTCTAAAGCTTTGAGGAATTGGTAATACGATTGCTCTGGTGTTGGTATGTAGATATATAGTGAATCGAAATCTAAAAGTTTGGTGAGTTTTCCCAGAACCAGAACTACCCCATATACACTTGGGTTATTAGGAAATATTTCTGAATGATTAAATTTTTTGCCCATTTTTTATTATTTTATTTTATTCCAAAAATCACTCCTTCTCCTTTATACTTTGAAAGAAATAATCCTTCTCCAGTGTGTATATTTTTAAAAAATATTCCATTACCCTTATGTTTGACTTTGACTTCTCCTGTGTCAATACTATCTACTAATTTATTTAATCCTTGTTTAACAGTTTTCTTGGTTTCTTCTTTTATTGTGCCTATCATATCTCCCACTCCTGAACCTTTGGCTTCCTTTTCCATTATCAAATTATGTCTAGGTTCTTCAGCGGCTTTAGCATCAGCTGCTTTCTTTGCGTTGGCAGCTTTGAATTCGGCAGATATTCCACCAGTTGCTGCACCCACCGCTGCAATACCACCAAATATTAAAGGTAGTAGGACAGGTAAAAATGTGTTCGCGTCAATTTTTTCTAAATCTATATCGTCTCTGACTTTACAATATTTGTACTTATCAATACGTTTTTTTAGTTATGCTGATTTTTTTACCGTTGAAAGTTATTAGTTTCAATAGCTTGTATTATTTTCATAAGTTTCTGGTTTCATTTTTAAGGGGGTATTTTTTACTCAATTCTTATCATTCTTCTATCAGCTATTTTAATTAAATGTTTTGCTTCTTCGAGTAGTAAACAATAACCTGTTACATCTCCTTGTGTTTTTTCAATATGAATATTCATATTCACCCCTGTTTTGAAAAGATCTTCTTGATGAGCTGATAGATCAAAACAGAAGATTGGATGATTAAGTGCAAAATCTACATATTCAAACTGAGGTGGATTTCCAAATAATTCACACATATTTTTATAGTTTATATACAATTCATTATAATCCTTTGTGGTTGGATTAATTCTTAAATGTTGGTTAGGATATTTATCGTTGTTTAATTTTACTTGAACTTTATGGATTATAGGATCTTGAGTTTGGTTCATTGCCACTCTGAAGACATTATTGTTATTCGTCTGAGAGTCTGATAAGTTCTTGAAACCAACCATTAAATATCTTGCTGGTTTAATAGTGTAAGTGATTGGCCATGTGGTGGATTCTCCAGTTAAAGTCATGCTACCTACTGTATTACGATGAAGAAAAGCTATTTCAATATCTTTAGTTAATGAGTTGAATATTCTCGTTTCTACTTTAATTGATGGTGTTATTACAGGTATGAAAAGTTGGAGATTCGTTATTTCTAATTTTGCATTTGAAGCATTCTCTCCAAAGAATATCTTATCATCGTTGATTTCTCTTTGTAGATGAATTTTATATGGTAACCCAATGGAAACCTAACTGTGTTCCAACAGACCGAATAAAGGATATAATTTCCAATTTACGTAATTACCCCACCTATTATTCTCAACAACATTATTATACTGAAATACTTGTTTTTCGAATCCATGATTAGCTGCTCGTGCTACTCTTTCTATTGTGTTGAGCAACAACTCTCACTCTAGCCAAATCAGCATCATTTGCAAGATTTCTAACCGGTTCTTTTAAAACACTTCCATCGCCAACATCGGGTATCCAACCTGAGACGGAATCGAAATCTTTAGGATATAAAAATGTTTTCAACATTGTGTCGAATTCCCCAGGGTGTTTAATTGTTTCTATCGGATTTGAACCAGCTTCCAAAACCATCTCGCTAAATAAAGATGGAAAGAAATTGTTTTCTAACGTTGTATTTGTTTGTGGTGCACGATTTTCATTGGGAGTTCCATCTTTAATTTTGAAATCACATCTGAAATAAGCATCGGAAAGAAGCAACCAATTCGATAATGAATTTATTTCGAAGGTAATTCTACCACCATCATTCAATTGGGATTTAGAACAAACAGTCGGTGAGATCATAATATAATCCTCTTTTTTCTTGTTAAACGAATAACGAATCGGATCGTTTAATCTAAAGATTGGGTCTAGTATTTTATTTGCCATTTAAAAATTGAGTAGAAAATTGTGGTCTGTTTTTTTTTTCAAAAAAGAGTTATCTCCCTTCTACTAAAAATAACATTATTTAAAACAAGGCTATTAAAAACTGGATGTTACGTTATTTCATATAAGGGTGTTTTTAATATGCTTTTTTTGATGGAATGTAGGAATTGATTGAAGGTGTTTTTGGTGTAAGAATTTATGAAATGTAGGGTGTTTAGGTGTTTTTTGGATGAAAGAATTTATGACATTTAGGGTGTTTAGGTTTTTTTGTGGAGGGAATTGATGGAATGTCCCATACTACTGCTATCATTACTTGTATCTTGATTGTCGGTAACACGTGTTAATCTCAACACGTAATAATTTCATCATTGCCTGATTAATTAATCCCCCAATTAAGATGGTAATTTAATCTATTTTCACACGATTATGTGTATTTTAAGCCCACGAGACAAACTATATATAACAACATCTGGTAGATTCTACTTTCACTTTTACAACTTCGTTTTATCAAATCATTTTGTAATTTTACTGTAACCTGAAAACATTCATTTATTGCCTGCATAGCGGGCTTACTTATTACCAGTCTTTCCATATCTGAAGAATGTCAAAATGGAAGCGTTAAATTCAGTTCAATACTTCGTGATAATGTTACAGGAAAATTATTTAATGATCGGAATGGAGATATTTTACATCTCATGAATTATACCTTTGGAAAAAGTAACATTGCCAGTACATATTATTTACTAAATATTGCTTTCAGAACATACTGATTTTTTAACATGGTATTACATGTATTAGAGGGCTAGGATCATGCATGCTTCCTTGTTTTCATTTCACCTTGACATTATTTTTGATTCAATCATTACTGAAGAATGACAATATTAAATTTTTTTGGGCCCCTAAACTTAAAAGATCAGGCACCATTTCTAGAATTATTTTGCCTGAGTAGGCCTATCCCTATTATAGATTTGTTAATATTAATATTAATATCTCCTGACTTTTCACTAAATCATTTGGATTGGTTAATAAAGTGAGTGTTATGTCACATGATATTGCGTTTTAATATGGTGAATTGCCTAGATTAAAAAACATTCTACGGTAAAGATTTTCGTTCTATACCTATCTTGATGTTATTTCTGAGCTTCTGATGTGACAGCCTGAACAAAATCCGCCAAAATGTCTCTTCAAGATAAAATTTTCTACTTTTCTTATTTTTCAATGTTTCAATTCAAGATTTGCAAAAAAAGCTACCTTTACAAATAATAAGGTACACACTACACAGGTTTTAAAAATCTGCTGTTCAAGCTGTGTGCCCTGTGCTAAATTTTGCAAAGTCACATAAAAAAATGATGAAAAAAGGCAGTTCTTCAGAAAATGTACCAGAAAAATTTTTTAAAAACATTGCACTTACCATACTAGATATATTAAAACTACGAAGTTGTCCTTTTTCTTCCAATGAATACATCTTTAATAAGCTATCTAAAAAAATTTTTTGAAAAGTTTTAACTATGTAACAAGCAATAAGCATCTGACTCAAGGCACAAATACTTAATCTAAAGAAAAATGCAAATACAAAAAAGGCTAGAACAATTTCTTTCTCTGATTTACAAAATTACAAACAGATAAAAACAGTATGTAAAAAACGATAATAAAAGATAATAAATAATATAAATAAATCTAAGAATTAAGTAATCAAGCAACAAGTCTCATATTTTGTTTGTGTTTTCCATCTTCAAATATCTTTCCATCTATTTCAATTTGTCCTTTAGATGTTAAAAATTTGTCAGAATCTTGATAAGATTGGAAAACAACACGTTTTTTATGAAGGTTTCATGGTTTTTAATTTCAATGATACACATATTTTAGTATCTTTTTTTTAATTAGGTATTTTGATATATAGACACAGCTTTATGGAACAACAATCACTAGTTAAAGTTTTATGCAACGTTTCGACGTGTTATCCCCGTCGTCCTCAGGCATATAATGAGAAGAAGTGATGGGCAAACTATATATACATTAATGCTTATTATTAAGAACACACAAGAGATAAATGGTTTTTTGATACATTACATTAAATTTTAACAGGTACAATAAGAGGTACATAATTCTTAAAATAACATACAGTCTGATTAAGTAAAAGGTTTATGCTTGGGTCTTAATTAACCATGTAGAAACCAAAAACGGTGACTTCCTGGGAATTTTGTCCAAAAAATGGATTTTGAGAACAATAGGATTACTGGGTGTTATCATAGTACACTTAAGCCGATGTAATCAGGTTATAGCCAATTAACAATAATCTTCAAGTAATTCATTTATTTACAACATTTACTATTTCATTTTTAACAAATATGATACAGAATCTGCAAACTCGTATACATTCAGTACGTTATTTCTATACTGTTCTATATTATTGCCAAGTCTAAATTAAAGTGTCTTGTATTTTCGTGAATGACAACAATACATGATAGAAAAACAAAATGAGTTAAAGATAACACTAGAACAATACAATAAATGTAGGAAAACATGGAGTAGAATTGATTTCGTTTTCAAAACATTAAGCACAATTCTAACAGTTGGAGTAACAGTGGCAACAGTCATAACTGGTGCATAAATGCTTCCAGTAATTGTCCCAACTATAATAGCCTCATATACTGCTGTTCAAACATCATCTTGTGGATGGGTTTTACTTCAAAAAAGAAATATTATTATAAAAAGAAAACACTAATCTTAAATACCTGTCTTCATAAATGGCTGATATCTTCTGATGTGGATAGCTTCATGAAGTCTCCTGGTTTTATCTATGTGCTAATTGATTGTCAGTATGTTGGTGTTGTCAAAGTTGACTTTATGTCCTGTTTTCCTTCCCATAGCAAGATGTTCAGCCACAGCAGATGTTCCTTCATTGCCGGGCTTGTCTTGATGGTCTTTGAGTCAAACATCAAGGGGTCTCTTTGTTCCCCTATATAAGAACTTCCACAGGTAGACACATCCCTTAGGTTTTTGGTTGTTGGAGGGATTCAAATTACCATTGGCTCTGAGCAAATCTTTAAGCGTTGAGTAGCCAGAGAACACTGTTTCAATGCCGACTGACTTTTTCTTAAAGTCTTCTTAATTTGGTAAGATGCCTTTCCGATGAATGGGATAGCTAAGCAGGTTGATGGTCTGTTGAGATTAGGCTGTTGGTTGGTTGGTTTTGCCATTAATACGGATCGAAAAGCTTGATGTACAAAGGCTGGGGGGTAGTTGTCGTGCAAGCAAAATACTTTCTTGATGTGTTGTAATTCTTGTTGAAAGTATTCTGGGTCACAAATCCTTTTTGCTCTTCTTACCAGTGCTGTGATGGCTGCCCTTTTGACATGTTGAGGGGTGTTGTAATGGTAGTTCACATACTGATGTGTATGTGTAGGTTTCCTATACACGCATGTCTTCAACTGACCGCCTAACCGCTTAATTCTCACATCCAGAAAGGGTATAGAGTCACCTTCTTCTGCTTCCATGGTGAAATTCATCCTCTTATGCTGAGCATTAAGATGCTGAAGTAGAGCTGATGGGTCATCTTCAGCTCTAAGCATGATAAAGGTGTCATCAACTTTCCGGAACCAGCAGATTGGTGAGATCGAAGAGGTTTCCATGGTCTTTTCCTCAAAGGCTGTCATATAGATTTCAGTAATCAATGGCGACAAGGGGCTTCCCATAGGTAGACTGTGGATTTGATCATAGATCTCATCTCCCCATGTGAAGTAGGTAGAGGACATACACATCTGAATGAGATCGACGATGCTGTCTGTAGTAAGTGTAGTATCTAGTGGGGTCTCTAATTTAGATAACTTATCTCTTATGATACTCAACACATCTTTACATGGGACATTGGTGAATAAATCGACAATATCATATGAGTACATCTTCCCTGTGGTCTGAAGTTCTTTCAATTTGGTGACTAATGAATGAGTTAGCTGTTTTCCCCAAAGGTGCCAAGATTCTGCTAAGATGTTGGGCGATGTTATAGAAGACAGAATCCCAAGAGCATATGAGTAGCCGAGCCTTGATGGGGTTTTTGTGGATTTTAATTGTTGCTCTGGCATATGGTGAACGTGGGTGACGGCTTGATCTCAGTTTAAATTTAAGTTGATTGGTAATTTGGTTACTGAATTCAAGTTCATTTAACCTAAGGGATGTGTCTACCAAGTTGAGTGCTCCTGTGAAAGTTCTTATATAGGGGAAACAAAGAGACCCCTTGATGTTCGACTCAAAGACCATCAAGACAAGCCCGGCAATGAAGGAACATCTGCTGTGGCTGAACATCTTGCTATGGGAAGGAAAACAGGACATAAAGTCAACTTTGACAACACTAACATACTTCATTGACTTTATTTCAATTATTTTACTTAATCAGTCTGTATGTTATTTTAAGAATTATGTACCTCTTATTGTACCTGTTAAAATTATTAATAATAAGCATTAATGTTTATATAGTTTGCCCATCACTTCTTCTCATTATGTGCCTGAGGACGACGGGGGAAACACGTTGAAACGTTGCATGAAACTTTAACCAGTGATTGTTGTTCCATAAAGCTGTGTCTATGTTGTGTACGGGTCGACACTCGTATCGGGTAGCTTGTGCCTGGTGTGATTGGACTACTTGGATAGATCACGTGGTATGCAAGTCTGTGCGATTTATGATTGTGTGAGACAGACATTGACAGACGAATATCATGGCTGGTTTGGAAAGGTTCGGTTCTCAATTGTGAAATCCCAAGAGCATGTCTCCCCCTCGTTACTGAAGGTATGTGTATGATATGTTGTCCTTGTAATAAATGGTAATTAACGCTGTTGTTGTTATCTTACATCTATATATCGTACTCACAATTGCTAAATGCCATTCAAAGACTTTAGGTATTTTGAGCTTATATTTTCACTTTTAATGATGATATTTCTACATCAAATTCATCTAAAATTTCATTTAATTCTTCCAATTCTTTAACGGTAATGTTCTTATCTTCTATTGATCTTTCAAAAAAAGTTTATGAAGACAAGTTTTTAAGATTTGTGTTTTCTTTTTATAATATTTCTTTTTTGAAGTAAAACCCATCCACAAGATGATGTTTAAACAGCAGTATATGAGGCTATTATAGTTGGGACAATTACTGGAAGCATTAATGCACCAGTTACGACTATTGCCACTGTTACTCCAACTGAATTGTGCTTAATGTTTTGAAAACGAAATCAATTCTACTCCATGTTTTCCTACATTTATTGTATTGTTCTAGTGTTATCTTTAACTCATTTTGTTTTTCTATCATGTATCGTTGTCATTCTAGTTTTACTTTCTCTTTTTTTTCAATTATGTATTGTTTGCTTTCGACTTTATCCACCCCTTCAGTATCAGGGATTTAGGTGGTAAAATAATGACGTTTACATTTTGAATCATTAATATTGTTAAGATGAACTGAAAATGTTGGTTTTTCAATATTAACGGTTATCTTACAATTACAAATATATACCTTTGATGTAGCTTCATCCTCGATTATCGATGAATGTATTATAGACTCTTTATTTTGTTGACTTTTATGAACATCAACTGAGGAGCAGTAACGTTGATGATACAGACAATGTAGTTTTACATATTCAAAGTCTAATGATAAAAACTCCTTGTTTCATCTTCTTTTCGTGGTTCTGGTTTTTTAAATTCATAAATATAGTTGATTCACTCTTAACTCTTTCATCTTCATCACTCAAATTTCCAAATGGAAGATTAAAATAATATGATTAATTTTTTTCCTTCAATTCGTTTTTATGTGCGATTATATTTTTTTACCTGTTTTAAAACTTTGTTATTAATAGTAGTTGTTGAATTTTGGTATCATCAATATTTGTGGGACTTTGCTTTGCTTGAAATATGTTATCATATTGTCAATTCTTTTTTTTTTTTTTTTTTTCTATTTGTACACACCTTCCTGAGCTTGGACTACAATAGTTGCAGCAACAATTCAACATTCACAAACCTTAAATATAGGCGACGATCGGAAGTGCCACAGTTCAATATGTGCAAGAATAGATAATCGGCTGCAGAAGTCGTATTTTTCGGTCGATTGTCTTTGAGTTTTCATTTTTGGAATCTACTGGCAAAATCTGAAAGAATAGCAGTTTCAAAATTTCAAAATTCGAAATTTTTTGCCAAATTTTGCATTTTTTTCATTTTTTTTGCTTTTTGTCTGATTAATCTGAAAAAAATTGAGCAAAGACAGTTTAAGAAAGTAAACAAAATGGTACAGTCAAATTTTCAATTTCACTTCCGGTTTAAACAGGAAATCGATGTTCACTTCCGGTTGAATATCTTCCGGTGTAATTTGTATAGGACAAAAAATTTTATGCTGATAGGTAGACAAAGTTATGACAAAAAAACGAAGAAAACAAAATCCGCAGACGTGAAACTTTGGCCGCCATTTTGATTTTTCTGAAATGATTCGATTTTTATTCAGACATAATGGCTCATCCGATTTAAATGATTTTGGTGTCAAATGAAAGAAGATAAAAAAAAAATTTTGCTTTTTTGCAACATCCGGTTGAATTTTTTCAAAGTTTGAAGGGTCTCGTGATCTCGTGATCTTGAACTTTGATGACCTTGACCTTCATAAGGTCAAGGGTCATTGACCTTTGCTATCAGTTAATACTTTGACATTTGACCTCCGACATGTACTTCCGGTTTTATAGCTGTCCGAAAACAGCCAAATTCGCAACTTTGGACTGCTCTAGCACGTGAACTAATTAACCTAGAGGGTTAATTTTTTCGGATTCTTACTGTGCTTTTCATGCTCTTTCAAGTGATTTATAACAATTGTTTTTTAAAGCAAAATTGAAATTCGTGAATTTTTCAAATTTGAGTTTTTTTTTTACAATATTTCTGTTTCTTTGAGCTTGGTGTGTATATATCTTATGACCTATTTCATGTAGAACATTGAAACTTGGAACACAACAAGACAATTTGAATATGAATTAACCTATGACAAAAAAGTTGAGGTGGGCGTGGCACATCCAGGTTGAATTACTAATTGTTTGCATTTTGGGAAAGGGGCATAACTCGCATAGGATACATTTGTTCAAAAAGGAACTTTGCACACAATTATTTCATTATTTTGGCCAGTTTGTGTTAATAGGTCAATTGTTTCAGCTTTATATTTCCAAAAAAGGAACGGGTTTTGAAATTTCCATATTTTCAATTTTCTATTTTGACCTTTATTGACTCTTGTTGACCTATATCTTTTGACCTATATGATGTAGAAGCTGTAAATTTGGAATACAACATAACATTCAGAATATCAATTAACCTATGCAAAAGAAATTGAGGTGGGCGTAGCACATCCAGGTTAAATTACTCATTATTGACAATTTTGGCAAGGGACATAACTCGCAACGTATACATTTGTTCAAAATGGAACTTTGCATACAATTACTTCATCCGTTGAGCCACGTTGTCTTAGAAGTTCGATTGTTTCATCTTTATAGTTCAAAAAAAGGAACAGGTTTTGAAAATTCTAAATTTCCAATTTTTGACCTAGACCTTTTTTGACCCTGATTTTTGTAGGATCAAAGGTCATTCACATTGGCTATCTATTTATACTTTTATATTTGCTGTCCTATCTCAACTTCCAGTTTTATAGCCGTATATATTTAAAAATTTTGATGACTTGTATCTCGTAACCTTGACCTTTGTTGACCGTCTCCCTTTCAATGTCAAATGTCATTGACCTTGGCTATCTTCTGATACTTTCATTTGTGAGGTCTGTCTTCTTCCGTTATAACAATCTTCCAAAGAATTCTTCTCAACTTTAGACTGCTCTTGCGCGTGATGTAATTATCGTAGAAGGTTGATTTTTTCAGAGTCTTTTGCATTTTGCTACATTTGCAAAGTCCCACTCTGTGCCACGTGTGGCTCTAGTTGTA